GCAATTAGCTGGTAATATTTTTTAATGTACTCCAAAATGTTCAACTAGCTTATTACAATAAATATCCATGGTGGCGTGGTTCATCTAATACTATTACTTTATCACGACTTAAAGAAAATGTTATGTCTTCCACGACAACAAAGCCAAATAAATATTTTCATAATCATAAACATCTTATTTATTATAAATTTACAAAAAATAATTAAAATCAAGTCTGATATATTAACTAAAAACTACCTTTCACGCATACAAATGAAGCTTCAAATTGTAAAATGTTTAAATTATTCATTATATTTTTAAATAAAAAGTATATGCGTATTACAAAAAATAAAATAATATTGTAATTAACATTCGTTAAAATATCTTAATTATTTAGCAATACTAATTTATTGTGTATTTCGCGTAGCTTTATAAAAACGTAATTTTTTTCATGGATACGAAAATGAAACATGTTTTTAATGTTAATTGCACTGCACAGGTAGGTCTACTATACGATTGAATTATAAAATATTTTATTCGAAGTTGTAAGTGCAATCATTTATTATCACGATGAATTTTGTTGAGAGCAGTTTATTTCTCGTTATTGCTTTTGCTTTCTGTATGTAATCGATAATAAGGCGAATTCCAAGTAGAGAATATTTTTTCCATTTTTATTTTTCGCCGTCGGGCTTGCGTCAATATACCTATTAAATATTTTTTACGACCGTCTCGCGTCGTGTCTGTCGGACGAGAAATTATCGCTGTACCCGTCCCGCCACCAGCAGGGGTACGTGTGTAATTTTTACGCCCTATAAACGAACCACAACCACTTGCGTGTGCGTGTGTGTGTGTGTGTGTGTGTATGTGTTTATACTATAATATATATATATATATATATATTATATATTGTATACGTACGCTGGCTATATCATAGTGGACCTAAATCAATGCCAAAATTTAGATTAATAAAAACCCCGCGCCGTCGTCGAAAGTATCCCGCGTTGATCCAGGCGGTGACACGACCCCGTGTTAGCGGCGGCGGTGGTGCAATAGACGCGTCGGCGGGGTTGATGAATAGCGGAGCAGCGTTACCCTTCCCACCCAGGACGTAATCCAAGCACGATGTCGTGTGCGTGTTTGCGTGTGTACGTGCACGAGTGCGTGCGTGAGTGTGTGGACACTGTATAGCAGAGTATACATATGTATGGGGGTGGGTAGTCGTGGTTAGCTTTGCAGCACGCGTTTTGGATTAACAGCCACGGTGGTGGGTGGGGGGGGGGGGTTAAGGGATGGGGGATTAGTGGATTTCCCTCCGAGCCCCGGACGAGGCTTTACACATACTTGCGATGCGCGAGACGACGGGCTGACATCGCCCGCAAAGAACCGGCAAGTCTTTGTAATAATTATTAAAGAAACCCTTCAACGACGCAAACATTTTAAACCTGCGCCAGCGTTTCATTTATATACCCGAATTCGAATAGCTGTGATGTGTCACAAATGTAGGTGTATCATAGTGGCGTGAACGGCCATTGATGATTTCTGAATTTCAATTTTTCATTTTGATACAATAGATTTCCAATCTCTGCATGAGAATAAACAAATATTTTTAAATATCTAAAAACCGTATGATTTGTTTGCGTGGCACGTCATAGATCAAAAGTCATTTTAATATTTTTAACGGCCGAATATATAGGGAGACACGAACATTAAAAATATTGCTGTGCTACAAAACACATAGATTATATTAGTTTTAAGTTGTTGGTTAATACTGTTAGTGAACAAAACAATCATCTAAACATTTGTTAAAATATTTGACAACATCGGATTCAATCTGAAGTTATTAGACTACGTTTGGTTTAAGTTAAATACGATTTGCAAAATCTTAAAGCCAATGACAATAAAAAATATTGATTTTATAACTACAAAAATAAATACTATCAATTTTGTTTTATCATTACTTATTTAAATATTTTTATTAAACTTTACAGTTAAACCAAATATTTAAATACAACTACTTTATTAGTACCTTCCTATATTTATATACAGACTATTTTCACATCGTATATTATTATAATAAATACTATATCTATAGGTATATAAAGTTCGGAATTCCTATAAATTTAAATTTTAACCTCAGATTTATTAATGTCTAATTCAAAAAAAGCTATTATTACCGTAATTTGTTTTTATTTCGTAGATGGGCACACCACACAACAAACTACTAAATCTAACAAAAACAGTAATGCCCGTTTTGTCCATTTTCGTAACACTAAAAGGACCTCACACAGCGATACTCACTCGAGTTGAAATAATGTAGTTTAATAGCTTAATGTCCATTTTGGTGGTTTTTTTTTACCGTTTTCCCCGTTAAAAGTCCTAATCCCCAACGAATCGTTGTCGCGAAAACCCGTTATTATGGTATATATAATTTTACGAAAGTTCCGTATCCCCACTGATCCCCTAGGGGTAGTGGGGCAAAAGCGTTTTTACTACCGAAGCGAAATACCTTGTCCCCCATCTGGGTGTACGCAAATCCCAAGAGAGCCGCAGGGATAACTTATCGTATATATAATGTCACTTCTCCCCTTCATCCACGTGTTTGTTTGCTTCCATCTTAAAACATTCGAACAACAAACATTAAAGTTTCCTGAAAAAGACAGAGCCAGACATCCCTTATATTTCTATTTAACTCTCCTACCTCCTGCAAACAAAGTTTTTTTTTGTATTCTATTGATTGTCTTTTCCAGTCACACCAGTCAATATACTAACATATACAAGTATATATTTCGATGTATAAAATAAACAACAGACAAATAGATTTATTTAAAGTCACTATGCATTATACCAGTACCATAAATCTTTTATATAAATTGTCGTGAACTCAATTTAATTTGATTGATTTTATTTTATCTAATTCGACAATCTACAGGATACAATATTATTATAAAGTTGTATGTAATTTATTAATTTATAAAATATGTTATATTATCTTCAAAATTCCTAAGAATAAAACGCTGTACATACTTAATTAAAGTTTAGAACAAAATTGATTACTACCAACCAACCCTTATTATTATTATTATTATTTTGTAGTTGGCTGTATAGTGACGTTTTCGGAAGGAAATCTTCTAAATCCTTGGAAACTTTGTATTATATATAAGTCTTCTCTCGTCCTTTTTGCAGTTTGGAATAGCGCCGAATTGCGTTTAGAAAAAGTACCCAGGTCCCACAAAAGAAGGTGGACATGAAGGAAGGGGGATGGAAAAAAACGTGTCGAAAGTAATTTCGAAAGGCAGAGGGCGAGCTCCTAGCGCGTGGGGAAAATGGCACGGCAAATGGGTTACACGGCGCCCTATACGTGGAGAGAGGGATGGTCTGAGTCAGAGCGAACTAATCAGCCGGTTACTTTTGCGCCGGAGGGGACAAATCGCCACCACCACTTCCGGGGGCACCTCGTCCGTAGCCGTATACACGTGTACATATATATTATATTCCTGACCGGCGCCAAGTGATTGATGCGTGCAAACGAAAGCGCAAGACGTTTTTATTTCCGAAAATGTCCCACCTGACAGCCGGAGAGTAGGCGAACAATAATAATATATTATATAACGTGGCTCGCGTGTAACCAGTAAGCAAATGGTCCATTAACCGGAAATAAAAATCGTAACGCACCTTCCGGTTTTTATCACTCCGGGCGGTTTTTGCAGCGCACGAACACCACCGTCATCGGGGGTGCCGATGAAATAATCCTCCATCTAAATGCGTTTTACGACGGACTATATATACTGCGTACGTTACATAAGGCATTTAATTGGGCCCATGAGAGTGGCTAGAAATAGAACTAGTAATAGGTTTGCCGAGGTTAAAAAGATAAATACAAATATATATAATATTATGTAGTATGTACCCCACTGCAGACATTAATCATAATATTTGTATCCCATTCGATCATCACGTTTCCACACTACCGACTAGGTGTCGATATGTGGAAATTATTCTAAAACCAGAAAATTTGTTCAAATATTAAAAACAAAAAATAATAAACCCTGAAAACAATACGAAGACAATGGCGGTTTAACGTAAGTCTCACTTGCTCACGTTTAAAACAGGACGTTTCCAAGGTATTATCGTTATACATTTTAAAATCAATAAATTTAAAAGTTTTAATAATACACATACAACGATTACACAATTAGCATAAACTATATAATTTCAATTTTTACATTCTTGTAATACGATAAGTGATAACTGATAACCTATTATTTACCTTTTAATATATTTTCAATTGCAATTTGTAACTAGTTTTTACATTATTGTAATATATTTATTGAATAATTAACTAGCTAATATAACAAGTTCAATAGTAACTAATTTTGCGAACAGTTTTTCTTTACAATTGAACTACCGTTTAAAATAATAAACATAATCAGCAATTTAGAGTTCCATCTGAATAAAACATATATTCTAAACATTTTGCTACATATGAACCAATCCTTTTATAAGAAAAGTTGTTCTGTATTTAACTAAAGAAAATACATACCATTCTAAATGTAATAGATATATCTCTGGCTTCACATTAAATGAAACACAAAAATTATTTTGAAAAATTAAAATGTGTATATTTATATCAATTTAAATCAAAACACCAATATTCTATAACCATGTAATTACTTGAATGGGACGTTCGTTGGCAAAATCGTTTGATTGGGGAAGACATGCAGAATTATTTAAATGACATCTTAACAAGATAAAGTGTCAAATTAGAGTAATTAGCTTTATGACGATAAAAGGGGGCGAATGTCTTCGTCAAACAAAATACACGCGTTGTATAATAAATAATGAAATCGTCAAGCGACCCAAACCGTGCGATCTGACAGTCTATCTTTTTCATACGATATGGTTAAGTGTATAACATGCCTGTGCGCTACGTCAGTTATCATTACCTACTTTAAATCCATTCATTAACGTCTATAACACTATTTAATTTTTAACATACTAAAACCGTAAAAATCATTTCACAGGATGGCGGGGAAATATCAAGGAAACGATCGCAAAAGGATGGTGGAATCTAAATACGGAACGTACGGACAAGGACGTGGCTCTAGACTCGGGCGAACAACGACCAAGAACACCGGACGAGGAGGTAAATCGATGGCCTAAAGGGACGGGCAGACTTATGCAATAAATGTATTTTTCCCTGGAGACTTCTTGGCAAGCTTTTGCCATGAGCCCATGAAACTCAACACCACGTACCGACCATATTAATTTCCGCCTTATTAAATAAGTTCGTAGTATACCGGACTTTTCAATTATTTGGATAGAAAGTAACAGCGAACCTGTAAGGCTATAACTGCTATAAGATATAATTTATTCACTTGGCAAAATACAGTAAAATTGGAAACGAGCAATAAACTTATACTCACCTTAAATGCCCCGTTGTCCGTTGAACATCATTAAATAAAATACTATACTATACTTATGTTGAATGTTACCAGTGAACTATAATATAGTATACCTATAGTATAAGCAAATAAATCATAAAAATACTTTTGAATACCTAGTGAATATTTTTATGTTTATGGACTATTTTGAAATATTCGATTTATAAAACTCAGTTAAATACCTATTTTATTTAGCGTTATTATAATCGTAATTCTGAGATCTTACTTACACATAAGGGAAATTCACTAAGAACATTATTAAATAACGAATATTTAGTTGTATAATATATTATACAAAATATGATAACCAGAAACTGCAGTAAATAAATTAAATCCTATACAAAACAACTTTAGATTCTTATCTAATTGTTAATAAAAACCAATTAATCTAAAAACTTTTAGAATAAATATTATACAAACTTACAATGAAGTTGTCTACAATATATTAGTTATAGTTTATCGTCAGCATTTTTTTGTGGTGTATCAAGTATTCTAAAAGTTATGTTAAATTCATGATAATAAATTGTATTTGGTTGAAAATTTAACATGAATTCAATATTTTTAACAAGTTGAAATTGCTAGTTAACCATTACTTTTTGAATGAAATGTCAAAATATAAAAATTAACCATTAAATGCATTTTATGGTATAAACATGTAATGGCCCAAGTAAGTCCAACGTGAACAAAATGTGTTTTGAATCTATAATTATTTATTGTAACTAATGAATTAGGGACTAATGACGTTTTAAGCAATTCACCGAAAAAAATTTTTAAAAAAACTATCTTCATATACCTAGATCATGATTAAAACCACAATTTGACCTCCTTTGTTGATTTATTAACATTTTTTCAAATTAGAATACATTATAAAAAACAAATAGATTTGCTGAAACATTTTTAAGAAACATGATTTAACAATTAAAAATTAGTTTTATTTAATTGTACTTTTCGATATCAATATAAAATAAAAAAGTTTTAACTCTTAATTTAACTCTAAGTATTAAATACCTCTAAAAATCACAACTGTTCCCATTCTCATAAGTAAAATCTATTTTAATTAAGCATTTTAATTTTTAAGCACTATGCTATTTTAAACATATATTTAATATCGTATAAAGTTACAAGTGAAAACTAACCACTATCACGCAGGACACGAGACCGACCCAAAGAAAGGGCGACGGTGACGCCCAGAAACCCTCACGCTTTTAAGACTGCTAGATGACAGTATGAGCGCATACAATGATCAAATTTCTCAAAAAAAAAAAGTATGCAATTAATGAAAACATTTATATTTAATTTATCATGGGTACAACAACACATAAATAAATCAATACGTAAATTATCAAAAGGCTTTACGTGTTTTGTTCGTATAAACATACGTAGGTACATTTAATATAACGAGTAGGTGTATTAATATTTAATAATACAAATGTAAATTATATAGTTGTCACCGCAAAGCGTTATGCGATAATAAATCAATGGCTCCCGTTGTAGTATAGAAATTACATTTTGGCCATAACAACATTTAAAATCGAACAGCAAACATTGCTTAAAAAATATATACAAAGTACTTGGGACTTGCATTTTTTATGCAAAAAATAAAGCTTCAAACTTAATAAACAAAAAGATTTTTTTTGTTTTATCTATTTTTTTTTTTTTTTTTTTTTTTTCAAA